TACCTGGAGAGCCCAACTCAGGTGACTGGGGAGGCTGAGCCACTGCATCCACAGGACACCTACTATAATGGGCCACTCTACCAAGTGGGAGACAGGGCATCTCTACCTAATGCTTAAAAACAAACCCAGGGACATGGCCAAAATGTGGAGACAAAGAAACATGTCGCATATGAAAGAACAGGAGAAATCTCTAGAAACCAAATGAAATGGAAACAAGCAAACTATCAGATGCAGAGTTCAAAACACTGGTTATAAGGATGCTCAAGGAACTTAGTGAGAACACCAGCAACATAAAAAAGTACTAGTCCAAAATAAAGGATACACTAACTGAAATGAAGAATAATTCACAGGGAATCAACAGTAAAGGAGACTGGGAACAAAATCAAAGATTTGAAATTTGAGGGAACAAAAAACAACCAACCAGAACAGCAAAAAGAAAAAAGAATCCAAAAATATGAAGATAGTGTAAGGAGACTCTGGGACAACCTCAAACATACCAACATTTACATCATGGTGGTGCCTGAAGGAGAAGAGACAGAGCAAGAAATTTAAAACCTATTTGAAAAAGTGACCGAAAACTTCCCTAACTTGGTGAAGGAAACAGACACACAAGTCCAGGAGGCATAGAGAGTCCCACACAAGATGAACCCAAAGAGGTCGACACTAAGACACATCATCATTGAAATGCCAAAGGTTAAAGACAAAGAGAGAATCTTAAAAGCAGCAAGAGAAAAGCAGTTAGTTTCCTACAAGGGTGTTCCCATAAGACTGTCCCCTGATTTATCAAAAAAAAAATCTTTGCAGGCCAGAAGGGAGTGGCAAGAAATATTCAAGGTGATGAAAAGCAAGGGCCTACAACCAAGATTACTCTATCCTGCAAAGCTATCATTTAGAATCGACAGATATATACAGAGTTTGCCAGCCCAGGTTGTGGACATGATCCCCAGTGGGGGTAATGCAGGAGGCAGTCAATCATTCTCTCTCATCAATGTGTCCATCTCTCTCCCCCACCCCTTCCTCTCTCTTAAATCAATTTAAAAAAAAAATTTAAGAGTTTGCCAGACAAAAGCTAAAGGAGTTCATCACCACTAAACCAGTATTATATGAAATGTTTATGAGTCTTCTTGAAGAAGAAAAAGATTTAAAAAAATATGAACAGCCCTGGCCAGTTTGGCTCAGCAGTTAGAGCATCAGCCCATGGACCAGAGAGTCCCAGGTTTGGTTCCAGCTAAGGGCACGTACCTTGGTTGCAGTTCGTCCCCAGCCAGGGTTGGGGTCGTGTGGGTGGCAGCCAGTCAACTGTCTCTCTCACATTGATGTTTCTCTCTCTCTCTTCCTCCCTCTCTCCCCCCACTGTATCTGAAGATAAATGCAAAAATGTCCTCGGGTGAGTATAAAAAAAATATATGAACAATAAAATGGCAATGAATGCATTATCTATTCAAAATAAACAAGCCGAACAGAAACAGACTCATAAATACAGAGAACATTTTGATGGTCACCAGAAAGGAGGTGGGTTGGATGGGTGATAAAGGTAAAGGAATTAAAGGTACAAATTAGTAGTTATAGTGTATATAAAGTACAGCGTAGGGAATATAGTCAATATTCTAATAATCACATATGGTGATTATCACATATTATGGTGATTATCAGATGGATATGGGATTTTTCAGGACTATCACTTAACTTTTATAATGTCTAATCACTGGGGTGTACACCTGAAGCTAATACAATATTGTATGTCAACTATAACTGAAAAATAAGAAATGACTTTATTTTTAAAGTACTTTATAGCTCTGGCCGGTTTTCTCAGTGGTTAGAGCACTGGCCTGCACAATGAAGGGTCGTGGGTTCAATTCCCAATCAAGGGCACATACCTGGGTTGCAGGTTTGATCCCTGGCCCGTCGGGGCCTGTGAGAGAGCCAACCACTCCATGTGTCTCTCACATCAATGTTTCTCTCTCTCCCTCAACCTTCTCCTTCCCTCCCTTCCACTCTCTCCAAAAATCAGTGGAAAAAAATATCCTTGGGTGAGGATGAACAACAAAAGTACTTTATATAAGTACAAAGAATGAAGCATCTTTATAGATACTAATAATGACCAATTTCCAGGATACGGTTTCAAGTGAAACAGCACGCGAACAACTCCGATGTGCGGCTGTGTGTCCGTTGTGTGTGCAGACACACACGTGTTCCTGTTTACAATGTCACAATGTATGCCCATAGCACCTGTTTTTAAAAACTAAATAATAAATTTCAAAGTAACAGGTGGAAAGATGAGTGTTAAGCACATTTTGACCATGTTTTGTTTTCTTCTTCTGTACCCTGATTAGGGTAGTAAGCATTTGTTGGTGAGCATCAAACACTAAATCCTTCCATTTAAAAATGCCCATGGACAGCCCTAGCTGGATTTGCTCAGTGGTTAGAGCAACGGCCCATGGACCAGAGAGACCTGGGTCCGGTTCCCACTAAGGGCATGTACCTCAGTTGCAGTTTGTTCCCGGCCCCAGTTGGGGTGGTGTGGGTGGCAACCAGTTGCCTCTCTCACATCAATGTTTCTCTCTCTTACCCCCTCTCCCTGTATATCTGAAGATACATGCAAAAAAAAATGTCCTCGGGAGAGGTTTAAAAATAAATACATACATACATACATACATAAATTAAATTAAATAAAAATGCCCACAGACAGCTGCATTGCTTTCTGATACAGAAACTTGTCCGAAAGTGGACAGGAGAGCAGGTGGGATGTTTTGTTGATGTTGACATTTTAAACAAAACTGACTGGGGGTGAGAAGGGGAGACCCTCACCTATGGAGAACCACAGAGCACCCACCCTGCCTGTGCCCTGCCCCCACCCCGCTGCCCTGCACCCTCCTGCCAGGGCACGTCACTTGCTCCATCATCGTCAGCACTGCCTCGCACGTACCTTCAGGTCCCCTGCCCGCGCTGGACGTGCTTCCTTCCCCAGCAAACACCCTGCCCCCGACCGCAGTCAGCTCCTCACCTGCTCCATGCTTGTACGTAGTAGATGCACAATAAATATTGAAACGTGGAAAAAAAAAAGGTAACAGCCAACCAGCCCACAAAGCAATCGCTGCCCAGTGCAAATGAATCAAAGTTACACCAATTCCTTTCATCAGATTGGCAAAAAGTACAGTTTTTGGTGTGCTGCAGAATTTTAGTAGCTGGTTTATGCATGCCGTGAGACGGAAAGGGTTGGAAATCGCAGCTCTAGACCACAGCATACACAGGTTATCTACGGCTCTCTGAAAGGGAGTATGAGTTGACCCATAATCTAGAGTAATTCAGTTTATAAGAAAACTACCCTGGCTTTGATACAATTTTATTAAACTCAAATGCTGGCTAATGAGGTTATTTGAAGAAAAAATAAAATGTTTTCAGAGATGAAAAGGCTAACATAAGATGGTTCCCTACATGAAGTTTGCCATCTAGTGGTCACTTGTGGAAATAAAAACGGCCAGTAGAATAATGTTCGAATCAGGCTCGCTCTACTGACAAAGGGATGACTCAAGACCACATTTCAACGTTAAGACATCAAATGACACCACGACATCCTCGGAGCTCTGTGCAGGTGTGGAAGGGGTGGGTGGTGAGGAGGCCATGCTTCTGGGAAACGGTGACATCCTGGCTACCCAGAGAATCACGCGGGACACCTTATAAAAGGACGACCACAGCCCGAGTAAATCAGATCCCCTCAGGCAGGCCCCACGCAGGGCATGGTCCAAAGTCCCAGGTGGCTCTCCTGTGGATTCCAGCTGTCTCTGTGAGCGTCACTGGGTGTGTTACCTTGAGCAGGGAGAGCAGCTGATTAAATAATGTCTATGTGCCTTATGAGGTCAATAGTCTCTCCTGGGGTTATTGTGGGGATTAAATAGGATCATGGTGCCAAGCGCTTAGCATGATGCCTGGCATTGTGCTCATCAAATACTAAATATTAATGCTATTTCCTGTCAAAGAAAATGTTTTATGAGTTATTAAAAACAAAAAACAGCCCTGGCCGGTTTGGCTCAGCAGTTAGAGCATCGCCCCTCACACTGAAGAGCTGTGGGTTCAATTCTTGGTCAAGGGCTTGTACCTCGGTTGCAGGTTCAATCCCCGGACCTTGATGGGGTCATGCCGGAGACAAGCAATTGATGTGTCTCTCTCTCATGTCAATGTTTGTTTCTCTCTCTCTCTCCCTCCTTCCCTCCCATTCTATCTGAAAAACCAATAAAAAAATATCCTTGGGTGAGGCTTAAAAAGTAATAAATAAATAAACAAACAAAAAGGTAGTTTGAACTATAAACAATGGAAATTTTAATTTAAAATATTATTCATTGGATAAAAAAGCTGTGGTACATATATATAATGGAGTACTATGCAGCTGTAAGATCTCATACCCTTTGAGACAACATGGAGGGACCTGGAGAGCATTATCCTAAGCAAAACAGGCCAAGCAAAGATAAATATCATATGATTTCACTTATTTGTGGAATATAATAAACATAACAGTCTGAGGAACAGGGTAGACCCAGAGACGTAGAAGTAGGGTACAGACTGACAATCCTCAGACAAGGAGGTTGGCAGGGGAGGAGAGAGATAAACCGCAGAACTTATATGCATATGTGCATAACTGATGGACATGAACAACAAAGCTGGGGACAGGGTGAGGGGGGGTGCGGAGAAGAGTGTCAATGGGGGAAAAAGGAAAAACATCTGTAACAAAAATAAATAATAAAATAAATGAACACTAAATTGTAAACAAAAAAATAAAATAAAATGTTATTTATGTCCTGGCTGTTTTGGCTCAGTGGTTAGTGTCGGTTCGCGGACCAATGAGTCGTGGGTTTGATTCCAGTCAAGGGCACGTACCTTGGTTGCGATTCGTCCCCGGCCCTGGTTGTGGTTGTGCAGGAGGCAGCCACTCGATGTGTCCCTTTCACATTGATGTTTCACTCTCTCTCTCTCTCTTCCTCTCTCTCCCTCCCACTCCATCTGAACCTCTCTCTCCCTCCCACTCCATCTGAACAAAAGTGGAAAAAATTTCCTTGGGTGAGAAGAAAAATATGAATAACAATAAATGTTATTCATGATCGTCTTAAATCAGAATACATTTACTGCACAAACAACCTGTCTCAGAACAGTGTGAGCCGCTGCACTGCGAGTGGCCGGCAGCTCAGACGCACAGCAGCGACTCAGGCCTCGGCACCAGGCACGTCTGACACAGAAGCCGCAACAGCAGGAGCCCGCCTTGGAAACTCCCATTCCCTCAGACACGTGGCCCCACCAGCCTGCAACTGCACTTGAATTTGTTCACAGGCCAAGGACAAGGCTAAGCAATAAAGTAATCTTTAAACGTATCTATGCACTGGAGCCATTTCGTTTCTGCGCTTGATGAAACAGACTGAGCAGAGAGCAGAGGCAATGAGGTGAAACAAGGACCGGGAAGAACCGACCGTCCAACAGGCCGGCTCTGCGCCTGCCCTGTCCTGGCCACGTGCTCAGCCAGGTTGGTCTGCAGACACTGGGGACCAGCTGAACCTGTGACACAGTGCTGGGAAACACTGTGGAGATGCCCGTGTGGACCGCCACCTGGAGGTGTGGGACGTGGTGTGCATGGAAGGGTGACGTGGAACCTAAGAGGATGCCTCAACAGCCAAAGTGAAAATACAGAATGGTGCGTGCTTGGCTTCATGTATCTGCTGTCATTAGAAACTGCTCCCTCCAAAGGACTCACTGCTCCCGTGCACACTTCTGACTGCTGGCCAGTGGGCGGGGCTGTGCGGAGCCTGTGCAGGGCCACCGTGCGCTGTGGCACCAGACAAAGTTATATGCAGAGAAGGAAACCTGGGTCTGGGAAGTATGTGTCATACTTCCTACAAACTCAATACAATGTGCCTTTTCAATCTAAAGAAAAAGTTTTTTCCAACAAACTGACTTTCTAAATAAGAATGCTCATGTACATAAATAGCCAGTCAAAATTTCAGACGCTCAGACTCAGAGACGCTCAACTGCTCACTGCGGATCTTGGTGAACATGATACCCACCTCTGCTGCCCAGGTGTTCTTCCCAAAGTACATTCTTACACTCAGAATTTTAAAACAATGAAAAAACATTTCATGAATCCTGCATGCCTAGTCCTAGTAAAATAGGGAACCGTAGCAATTTTTTAATCTCGACACCAAAGGCAGCTCAGGCTGCTCAGATCACAGGCTGAGACGACGCCCTCGTGCTCTGGCGCCTCCAGTGCGCAGCAAGTCCGGCAGCAGCGGCCGAGGCGGAGCAGGGAGGCTGAGGCTCAATCCTCGTCGTCCCGCTGCAGAGGCACCACCTGAATCTCCCTGGCCAGCCTCTGGGCCAGGGCCTCACTGCCTGCAGCAATCACCCTCCGTGACATCAGATCGAACGGCCCACCTGAAACCAATGAAAATGGAACGGTTACACCTCGTACCGAAATTATTCCTGCAGAACTCATGCAGCGACAGACACTGGGTCAATCATAACGTTTCAATACTTTTATATCTTTTCAAAAAGCTACTCTCTTACAAACAACCATGTTTACATTTTGGCAATACACAAATGAGTTTCTAGGCATCTTTTTAATACCAGTTTGGGGAAGGGGGTCTCAATTGTTCCAGTCTGAACACGGCGCCTTCCTCTGCTTCTCCCTGTGTGCACGTTACTCTGATTGCCTCTGTAACGTTGGGGAGTCTGTGCACAGGAAATCTGACCACAGTGTGTCCTCACACCCCGCTCCTCCCATTTCTCGACTTGTTTGCTGCCCTCTTCCCAGACCACCAGTAAAGTGTTACCCAGGTTTGCCCTTACTTTTAAAAACATCACCATCGGTCTGAAGCATTTAACTCTCTCCAGGCCCAAGGCAGAAAGGTACGGAGGCAGCTACCACACGCTCACCATCCAGAGAGCTCCTGGTAAAACCCTCAGGTTCACAGACTTTCTAGACCTTTCTACAGCCTCTCCAGAGCTCCTGCTGCTCATGTTTGAAGAGGCCCAGCCACCTATCCCTAGGAGCCCACACTACCCTTAGCATTTTCCCCTTCCTCCACCCTGCAATGTCTGTGAATTTGCAGAAAAATCACATGGCTTGTTTTGCCTTTAAGAGTTGAAGTGTGGCTCGGCCAGGTGGCTCAGCTGGCTGGGCATTGTCCTGGGCACCGAAGTATTGCTGGTTCCATTCCTGGTCAGGGCACAGGCCAGGTTGCGGGTTTGACCCCCAGTTGGGGAGCCTACAGAAGGCAGCCAATAGCTGTTTCTCACATCAATGTTTCTCTCTCTCTCTCTCTCTAAGCATGTCCTCAGGTGAGGATTAAAAAAAATAAAGAGTTAAAGTATCACCCATGTCAAACAATGAAAGACAAAAGCTACATATGAAGGAAAGTCCAAGAGATGAGAGAGGAAAATGCTTCACCGCCACCTCCTTACCCGTCACGTCCATCAGGACCCCACCAGCTTCGGTGACAATGACGCCCGCTCCGGCCATGTCCCAGCAGTGGATGCCCATTTCATAATAGGCATCCGCAGCTCCACTGGCCACAAGGCACATGTTCACAGCTGCTGTCCCAACTCCACGGATCCTGACAAACAGCATTTAAAATGAGATTAAAAAAAGGATTCTTTCAAATATGATATTCCTCCTTAACTTCAGTTCCTTTCAAGTGCTGACTGAGGTCACCTGAACCATCTAGAGCAGTGGTTCTCAACCTTCCTGATGCCGCGACCCCTTAATCCAGCTCCTCATGTTGTGGTGACCCCCAACCATAACATTAGTTTTGTTGCTACTTCATAATTGCAATTTTGCTACTATTACAAATCGCCATTGAAAATATGTGTTTTCCGATGGTCTAAGGCGACCCCTGTGAAAGGGTCCTTCAACCCCAAAGGGGTCACTACCCACAGGTTGAGAACTGCTGATTTAGAGGATATATGTAAAAAAAAGGTAACATCTAATTTTAAAATAGATATATACAATCTAACTGCCATGGTGCACTATGTAAATGACAAAATTGATCCTCACAAAGTAATAAGGTGAAGAGTGAGAGCATGACGTTCTCGGGGAACAGCTGATGGAAAGACTGACTTCCACTCTCATGGCACGTGGGCAACCACAAGTGTCCAAACCCAGCGAAAAGGGCGGCAACCTCTAGTATCTCAAAGATCTGACTGCTCCCTGCTCAGCTGCTTAAAAACTAATTTGGAAGAAGGTTCTTCTCACGTTGTAGCTTCTTGTCAGCAGGATGGGGCTCCCCTGCCCTGCCCACTACTGTAAGGATACAAATGACCAGGGGCCCCCGGCAGGGCCCAGCACACGGAAGGGCCTCAGTGCAGAGGAGGCCATGTTTCTGGTGAAATTATTCCCTAAACCATGAGACCAGGAAACACATAAGAAAACAGACACAATACGTTTCATCTAAATGAGTCCCCAGACTTACAGGAAATGGACCCAATATTTGCTTTGCCTTATAACTGCCCTTTCCTCCCTAGGAACCCATCTGACTGCTTCTCCTTGTTGACATTCATTCAAACCTTGACTCTCGGGCTTCTTTTTGTATAATTCATGTTTCTGGGTCAAGGTTGAAAAAACGAAAGAATTGGCTGAATAAGATCACGAACAATGCACCAGTGCACCCTTGGCAACGCTTTCATGGTTATATTTTGAAAAATTCCAGAACTGAAGGTCATGGTTGCATTCCACTTCTGGCAATGGAACAATGAAGGGCGGGTCCCAGCTGGGAGCACTGAGTCCTCCCTTCACGGGTGCCCTGGCTCGGGCTCCTGGAACCGTCCTGGCCCTCCCTCCGGACAGCCTTCCGGGAGGTTCCATAGCCCCCAACAGCAACTCTGTCACTTCCTTCATCACTGCACAGGCCATAGGTTCACAGCCTGGAGTCAGAGTCCCACAGCGGCCGCACCACACCGCTGCCCTGACTCCCGGAAGAGAAGTCTGTGGGAACCAGGTCCCGGCCACGTCGCATCCAGCTGTGTGCTCCCAGCCGTCGCTCCACCTCTCACCCAGTCACCTCACCCACAAGTCAGGCTGGTCGTTAGATGTTCCTGATCTGGTCTCAGAGTCTGGTAACTCAGTGGTGACATTTTCAGAAGGAAACAGGTAGAAACAATGGGTAGTGAATTAAAATCACAAAAACCTGTGGTTATTCACAGCTTTATTATTTTTGTTTTCACACAAACAACTACAGTGGAGGTCAGAGAAATGCTACTGCACATAGCATCAACTATATTAAATGTAATGACCTCCAGCCTCTAGCTTCCTTGCAAGCTTAAGGATAGATGTATACAAGTTTTTAATTTCTGGCTTGTAATTACTGGCTTGTAATTTCTTTGCTTACGAAACTTTCATTTCAGAATGACTGAATCTGGAGAATAATAGTAGATTCTGGTGTTAAAACCCTTATTACCTTCCTCCAAATAAAAATAAAATAAAGTCAACGAGGACAGACAGTCTGGGAATCAGAAGACATGATTCTCAAGCTGCCTCAGAGTAGCCAAGAACAAGCAGGAGACCTTAACGGAGCACTGCTGGGAGCCGGGGGGTGAGGGGGTGGGGGAACGGGGAGCCGGGAGCGGGAAGCTAGAAACGGGGAGCTGGGAGCTAGAAGCTGGAAGCCGGGAACGGAGAGCCAGCAGCAGGCACAGCAGACCCACGGGAAACACACAGCATGCCAGGAAAGGGAAAGTGGCCCTGGATGGTGGGGCACCGAAGGGCTGCCAGTTCATGCCTAGGATGTGGGTTCAATCCCCAGTAGGGGGCATGCAGGAGGCAGCCAATGGATGTTCTTTCTCTCCCCTTCTCCCCAAAAAAATAAATTTTAAAAACTCTTCAAAAAAATAATAAAGAAAGAAAGAAGAAAGAAAGAAAGAAAGAAAGAAAGAAAGAAAGAAAGAAAGAAAGAAAGAGAAAATGGGTCATACACAGAGCAGGGCCTCCTATTCACAGAGCCGTAGGGAAGCTGTGCTCCTTGGGGAGGGTCTGTGCCCGGGGAGGCTGATCCACCCACACGTACAGACCGGAACTCCAAAACCACTGAGCTCCCAGAAACAGGATGGGCTGGTGGGCGCCAGAGGCGGGGTGGAGGGTAAGCAGAATGGTGGAGGGGTCACAGGTACAATTCTCCAGTTATAAAGTAAGTATGTCCTGGAGACCGAGGTTCAGCATAGTGATATAGTCACCAGTACTGGGCTGTACATCTGACAGTTGCTAAGAGAGTGGATTCCCATTTGTTCTGTCACTGTGTGCAGTGACAGATGTTAACTACCCTTATTGGGGTGATTATTTTGCAATATATTTAAATACTGAATCCTTACTTTGTATACCTGAAACTAATATAATGTTGCATGTCAATTACACCTCAGTTTAGAAATGAGGCGGGCCCTCTTGAAGACAAGGAGTGAGGAAAAAGTAGGACCTGAGTGAGAACAGGTAAGATCCTGCAGAAACGAGAGAGAAACAAGGCACGCAGGCTGCCCCAGCAGACGTCCAGGACGGAAACGCACAGGAGGCAGCATCTGGAACCAGGAACCCGACCACAGAGTGCGCAGAAACCCACCAGGAGGCCACGCCACACAGAGCCACCACCCAACACCAGACAGTGCTGATAAGCATCTTGGGGTGTTTTTTGCCTGAAAAAGCCCCCCCCCACCGAGAAAAACAATCATAAAACTGTAACTGAAATTAATTCAACTTGAATTAAATATCCTCAAATAAGCCACTGTGGATATGGGGGCAGGGAATGTGACATCGGAAATACAAAACCTAAACACAGAAAAGAAGGTGAAACCTAGGAAGAAATACAACAAGATGACTAACTCAGAGAACTGGGGCAAACAAGGCAGAAGAGACTGGGATGAAGGCGACATTTCGGGGCGCCCCATGAACAGACGCAGCGGGAAGCCGCACACGGGCTGAGGGGAGAGTGGAAACGAGAAGCAGAGGGCGCAGTGAGAAAGGGTGGAAGTGGGGCACGAAGGGGCCGTGCTCGCCCGCCGGTGTCTCTGAGAAGAAAATGAAAACAGACCTGAACTAATACTGAAAAGTGGAATTCAATAAAACTTGAAAAAAAGACACAAATCTATGCGTGGCAGGAGAAACAATCCTAGAATGAGCGATTCCGAGAGATCCCTGAGAAACAACCCGGCATCAGAAATGAAAGGAAACACGATGTCAGAGGCGCCCTGTGGATCGTGAGATAACTCAGAAGCTAAGACAACTAGGCCAGCATCAAATTTCTCACAAACATGTGAAGCAGAGGTGGCTAAAGAGACAGGACAGCTCCACGCAGCATGGGAACCCGGACCTGCCTCGGAGGACGAAGAAAGCTGCAAAGGACATGATCAGACTGGCTGCCGCAGGGAGTCTGGGGGGCAGACCGTATCTAGTCAGTACCGCGCGGTGGCTGCGGGACAGAGTATACCTGCTCTTGGGAAGCAACAAACAGAAGTGTCTGGGGATAAAGAGTTATGGCGTAAGTAATTTACCTTAAGATAGTCAGGGAAAGAAGGTGCGCGTGTAAATACACACACACACACACACAGGGATAATGAAAGGATAAAATAAATGGGGTAAAATACTGATAGATGAGTCTGGGCAAAGGTTATACTGTTGGTGATTTTTGCATCATTTTATTTCTGCAAATTTTGTTGAGTTTTAAATTATTTTCAAACAAAAGTTTTTCAAATTGCATTAGAAAATTAGAATTATGGTACCAATCCCACATCGACTAGTAAAAAGTTTCATTTCTAAAAGAAGATTCGCTCCTTCGGGTGTGAAGGACCTGACCACTCGGGAGTGGGCAGAGCTCACCCGTGCACGGGGAGGCAGAGCAGCTTCTCCATGTTGGACAGCACGGTCCTCACTGTCTCCGGCGTTCTGGACGAGCCCAGCTCCGTTACCAGCAGTGATTTGGTGATGTCTAAGAGAAAATGACTTCAGTAATCACTGATAAGAATTCTGGTACAAAACTTGACACTTGTAATTCAGAATAAAACGGGACATTCTTAGTGCTCTTCCTAATTGTATGAAATGTGTTCCCTCAGTGGTCATTTTATAAGAACCTAGCTTTTTAGACCATCCCCATAAAATGCAAAATATAACCAACTTGTCAGCATGCACAATACCTTTAGTGGAAAATTAGCAAATACCTTAAACATACAAAAAGTGGGATTCAAGAACTGAATTCAATAAGGAACTTACATACAGAGTGGAAGTAAAACGAGTGGGAGGTGGAAGCACTCTCGTCCGCCCTCGTTCACTGACCGGGCAGATCTCCCAAGCTTTCTGTGCCCTTTCAGGGGCTGACCTGGCGCTCTGGGCTCCAAGGCCAGCAGATCCCCCTCCCCGCGACCAGCTGAGAAGTGCTCACCAGCTTGTTCTGAACACGTTTATCACTGCTGAACTTCTAATAATCTCATACGTTAATTAAGCATTATGTAGAGCAGAAGACTAATTATGAAGACTAATTATGCTGGCAGGAATGCGACCACACTCCTCCAATGCAGACGCCCATTTCTCACACACTGACATCCTGACATCAGGATGCGCACGCTGATCTTTGGGGCCTTGGAGTTCAATAAAAAGGAAATATTAAAGTCTGCTCTCGAATTAACAGTTTGAGGAGAAAAAATGACGGCAATGAGGACTCTGAATTCACATAGTTTTGCAGGTGTCTTTAAGTGGGCGCTGCAGTTCAAATAATCTGATGTCAAACTGCAGAATGTTGGGCATGGTTTGAGAGAGACTTGAAGGTCAATCATCAAGCTCATACAAAAATGAATATGTGTCATTTTTAAAGATTCCCAAATGTAAAACACTTTCCCCTGATTTACTGTCTAACACGTGGTCCCAATGGCACAAGATCAGAGCGGTTCTACAAAGCATCTGAACTGCAGTGGCTACAATAACACGCCACGAGCTCCCTGTCCCCAGCCCCGCAGCAATGCCCTGGATGTGGTCTGCTCAATCCACCAGCTCCCCGCTTCCACTACCACACTCAGACTCCAGTGGGAAAAAAGCAGAGAGAAATAAACACAATGTATGAGTCAGTTACCACTTGGAGAACCCCATAGGTTAACATTCAAAACAACGAAATATGAGTAGATAGTATCCATCGCGCCCAAACGAGAGGCTGACCCACCTTCTTGCCGCGACACCTGCAGTCTCTGGCCGTTGCAGAAGGCGCCCTTTCCCTTCCTGCCCGTGTACATCTTGTCCTCCACACAACTGTAGACAACTCCAAATTCCATCTGCAGATAGAAAACCAGTTTCCTTTACTAAACCTGGGTGTTTTTCATCGTGACTTATTCGAAGAAACTAACAAGAAAATCTGATATACTGACAAATAATGTTTCTAATGGCTACACTGGGGTTACTCAAAACACTAATTTCTAGATTAATCAGGAAAATGTCATCAGATCTGACTCCCTGGCTCTCAATCTCACCCCATCCACTTATAGCCTTAGGGGCACCTGCCGTGGCCTCCCTCACACCCAGGTAAGGATGGAGCTTGCCTATTTATCAGGGTGAATCCTTCCTTCCGAGAATGCTTTACCCTCCCCGTTTCTCGGAAAAGCTGGCCCCACTGACCCCTCTGGAAATATGAACTCGGGCTCTCCCTCCCTTAACAGAATCTTCAAAACTCTCTTTCTTCCCCTTCACTCCCAGAGAGCTGTCCACACAGCCTGTCCCATTCTCCTTCAATCACTACAGTCTGGCTTCTGTCCTGATTGTGCATTCTTCCGAAACTCCCCGCAGAGACTGGGCACCAAAGAACTCTCACGGGCCAAACACCTTCCTGGAGAACTGAAGATGGCCGACCATCAGCAGGGCTTCTTCAGTGTTTAGCCCAGCAGCTCCGTGCTCCTGGCAGGACTCTCTGCTGTCCCACCTCCCTTGCTAACCTAGCTTGGTGTCACTTTCAGGACTGTCTTCTCTGCTTACCCTTTCAAAGTCGTGTACCTCAGCATCTCTCATTCAGCTGTCTCCCTTTCAGCTCTCCATATGCCTACAGGTGGGTTCTCTCCAGCCCACAAACCAACGCCCACCTGGGCTGCGGCTCCCATCAACTCCGACATCACAGGTAAGAACCTCACCTTGTAGAAACCTCAACCAACGAGGTCAAACACTCATTACATGGTCACTCCTCACTCCGTCCCCATCCCCTTCCTTCAAATCTTATCCTGAGAACACTTTCTGAATTTGGCATTTCTTCAGCTACTGGCACTGCACCAGCTTAGCTCTGAATCGGCGGCTCCTCCACGACAGTGTCAGCATGGCTGGACAGTCACCCTGCACTCAGAAACCTCACTGGCTTCCACCTCAGCGTGGTGGCAAAGACCCACGCTCTCATGGGACGACCATGGCCAACTTCTCCCATCGACTGTCCCTGCCACGCTAGGGCTGCGCTCCTAGCGGCCATCTCACTGTTCCCCACACGTGCCGTGCTCTCCTTCGAGCTGTTCTCCTGATGGAAACATGTTCCTTTTCTTCCTCATTTGGCAAACCCTTCATTTCCTAAGACCCAAACCACATGACTGGATTATACAGATCTGCTGTGAAGACCCCCCACCACTCCTGGAGAACTGGCCCCACCCTCTTCGTGCTCTTGTGGGATGGTTTTCGTCACCCACCACACATGACCGTCTGCTTGCACGTCTCACTGTGGCGCTAACTGGCAGCTCCACGCAGGGGCCGCACAGTGCAGGGCTGCGGACGTGCGAGCGCCTGCTCAGCTCCTTTGCACATCCTCACTGCTCAGCACAGTGGTTCATTTCGTCTACACTAATTTGTGTTTTCATTTTCAAAGACTTCTCAACTCTCTTGTGTACATGCTGATCAAGTACATCACAAGCTCCTTCAAGGCAGGCACACAGATGACGATAAACATCACTGGTCAATCGAACAGCCAAACGGCAAGGCAATGCTGTGGCTGCAGATCCCGCTCTCCCAGGCTCACACAAAGCACGTTCCGGGCTCCAGAACACACTGCCTTCCACGCGTGCCCTGGCCCTACCACTTCCTGGCCTTTCTCTGACAGCCACTGAAGCATCCCCAGCTCCGACCTCGCCTCTCCACTCACCCCGTCGCCATGTGTGACTCTTCCTGCCCCAACTGCCACACACAATAGTGACAGAATACTGAATTGTTGTCCAGTTATTTGTGTGTATTTCTTCCTTATAATTCTTGTTTCTCATAAAACATTAAATTTTCTTCACTGGAAAAAGTATTATGATAATTTTAATACTCCTATAGCTTATTTCAAAAAAATGCAGCTGTATAAACTGAACACAGAGATGTACCTGAAATTATGGACACATTCACTCTTTCACAGAAAATGACAGCAAGGCACTTTCCGAACCAGAAACTTTAACGGCATACCTTTTTATTGACGACAAAGCCAATTGAAACAGCCACAAAAGGAAATCTTCAAGAAAAAAAAAACACATATAAATTTACCAAGATAGGACTTATTTTCAATAAATGCGTTTTTTCATAATATGACTGCTTACAAAATGTTCCATATGAAGTCTCATCCTTCTGCCTCACATAGGAGCCTATTATGCAACCCTCTGTGTACACGGTGGGGGTGGGGCTCACATATAGAGACACAGACACACAGGGAACTGCTGTGGGCGTGAAACACCTCTGAGGAGTCGCAGGAAGGTGGCAACAGTGCTGACCTCCAGAGAGGGTCCTGAAACCAGGGACAGACATGGGAAGGCTTCACTCTGCAGACCACTCTATATCGCTCGGATGTTGAACACCACAAATACAGTAATGACGCAAAATGTTTTCTTCAAAAAATAAAAACCAATTTTAAAGAGATTTTTAATTAATCATGGTCAAAAAGAAAAGTCTCTTTCCTTTGGTCATTTCTCCCCAAGCCTAGAGCCATGAACACAGGTGTGAACTGCCCAGAATAAACTGGTGCTCGTCTCAGCGTGAACACTCCTGGGGCTCCACACAGGAACGGGCACTGTCAGCCGCAGCAGGCGCCACGGCCGCAGGACGGCGTGGAGGTGCTGGGGTAACTACAGACTCAGAAGAGAATCAAGATAAAGAAAACAGACAAAATGGGTTCAGTATAACTACTGAAAATGAAAACTTTTAGAAATATTTAACAGTTTTTATTTTAACAACGAGACCACCCTGTACACATTGCATCATAATCTGCTCTCGGTTCCAATATCCCCTGAGCACCCTTCCGCACCTGCTTCCGTCACATCTGGAGCCCAGACCTCGCTTCACAGACTGAGCGACTCTGCGTCACTCAGACACAGGCAGCCACAGGGTACCCCCTGTGACATCTCTGCTCGCTCCCAGTGGCAATCCCGCGGGCTCCTGGTGCTAGGCACTGCACTGTGTCCTCCGCAGATGCACTGCTCACTGAGTCCCCACAATTCAGTGGGGCAGGCACCAGTAATACACTCATTGTACAGATGAGCAGCAAACAACTGAGGCGTAGAAAGGTTAAGTAACTTGCCCCAGGTCACAAAGCCTATGAAAAAGCACCTGGTTGCAGCCGTGTGCGTGGACCCTAAACCTGCACTCTTTTTAAGCTTTTCTCCTGGACAGAGCGCCCTCTGTGCAGACAGCAGCCCAGCACCGACCTCTGCGCTGTGCTCTGTGAGGATCTCAAAGCAGCGGTGGTGCCTGTGCTCGCCTGGCATGGGGAGGGTTGTGGCCCAGGCCTCAACACTGACACTGCACCGCCTTTTCCACACCTGGTGAAAGTCTCACAGCACATTTCACTCTGCAAATTACACAATTCTCTAGAGCAGCGAATTTCAACCAGCCTGCTGCAAGAATTTTTAAAGCATGCAATACCTGACTCTCCAGTCAGGGGCCTCGACCTCTTTTCCAAACTTTGATTGTCAAAAAAATGACACTAGCCAACACAATAGTCTTCTGGTGTAAATGAATCAAAATTATATCTTTTTTTGTCAGATTGGCAAAAATATATTTTTTGGTGTGCTGCAGAATTCTAATTAGTTTGTTTCATGAGATGATGGCTGAAAATCGCTGCTCTGAAGTATGCATGTTCACGAATGGGACTCTAAAGACCCCTCAGTTCACACACTCACAGTAATCACAACTTTAGACATTTAAAACATACCTATGCACAAAGTTAGTGGTCCCGTCAATGGGGTCAATGATCCATGTAGGGTTGTCAGTCAAGACACTTTTCTCCCCGGCGGCCACCGACTCCTCACCGATGAAACTAAAAGTGAGAACAGCTCTTCACACCACTTCCAACCAGCTTCACGCTCAGTATTTCCTTAGCTACAGAGTCTCCTGGGAAACACAAAGATCTACAGAGCGCACTTTTCTCTCATTGCTCCTCCTCCCTTCAGAATGGCAGGCATGGGCAAGCGTGACTCCCCGGGCACATGGAGAGCAGGGCTGAAACCCGGCAGAGTGGTGCCAGGACCTGCGAGGGCATGAGGTGCGCACACCCGAGCAGGGCGCTAGTGGAGGTGAGGACTTCCTAGGGAGTATGGTGGTTTTAAAAAGATGCCCCCAGCCTTGGCCAGTTTGGCTCAGTGTTTAGAGTGTCAGCCTGCAGATCACAGGTTCAATTCCTGGTCAAGGGCATGTACCTAGGTTGTAGGTTCAATCCCTCAACCAGGGCCGTGCCTCTCTCACATCGATATTTCTCTCCCTCTCTCTCTTTCCCTCCCTTCCACTCTATCTGAAAATCAATGGAAAAATATCTTCGGCTAAAGATTAACAAACAAATAAATACATAAATGAAAAGATGCCTCCAGATCTCTCACCATCCTCTCTTCCAGAGGCAGGGCTTAATGCTCTGCACCTCAAGTGTGAATCGGAACTGAGCAACTCCTTTCTAAACAACAGAACAAAGCGCAAGTGCCAATGTGCAGCCCTGAGGACTTGCTCACAGCCTGGCACTGGGGTCTGTGTCACCCACCCTGGTCTTCCTGCCCTGCCCTGCGGAAGCCAGCCACCTGCTCTGAACTGCTCTGAGGGGCCACGTGGGGAGGAACTGAGCGGAGCTCCCAGCAGACCTCCCAGGAGGAAGGGAAGTCACCAGCAATCACCAAAGTGAACGAATCCTCCGCCCAGTGCAGGCCTCAGATGGCTACAGCCCCACTGACAGTTGCCTACATTGTCTTGAGACCCTGAGGCTAAGCTATTCCCATATTCCTGACCATACAATACTGAGATAATAAATACTTGTCTAGAGCTGCTAAGGTTCAGGGTAATTTGCTACGCAGCAATAGGTGAGTAACAGAGAACATTACATAAGTCAGCAAGAAGGCAGATCATCCACCAAAATTAGTGTCTACCTGTTGTCCTAAAACACACTGTGCCATAAATTTCAGGTGAATTCTGGAAACAGTGTCTGAATTCATTGCTCTCTCTTTCCTACTTTCATTTTTATATTTTCCCTTTATTCAATAACGAACTGACAATTATTGTTATGATCTTTCATCTCTTAGCTGTATGCCTTTCTATTGAGAGGAAGTATGATGACTTAGCCAGGGCTTTAGGACCAGGAAGAAGTAGGGATGATGGGGCTTCTGCTCTGTCTGTGCCCGAGACAAGGCCCTACCTTTGGTGGTTTCTTGCAAATCCCCTTAAACTACCACATAAAAAAGTTTGCAATATAGAGAATGAAACTGGACTTCTAAATCAGCCTATGGCACACCTTTGTCACATCAGCTTCCCAGCACCCACACCCTCCCCACTACAGGGGAAGCCCAATACTGCCTCCTGGCTTCTCCGAGCTCAGCAGGCAGGTGTCCCTGCCCAGGACCTGCGATCACGAGCGAACCAGGAACTGGAGGTAAAAGCAAGGCGACCAGGAGCCTGGGTGGCATCACTCCTGTGGGCCGTCCAGTCCACCTCCCTTCCTGGTTCCTGCCGGCCTCTGCTCTCAGGGCTTTTGAGCCCCAACATCCTCAAAGACCTTCCCAGGTTAACTAAAGTCAACTTCTGTGCCTAGACTCAACATTTCTGTCTTGTATATTGACTCCAATCAGGTTCCATTTTTATCATTTGCAATTACACTAAGCCCTGGCTGGTGTGCTCAATGGTTAGAGTGTCAGCCTATGGACCAAAGCTTCTCAGGTCCGGTCAAGGGCACATACTTTGGGTGTGGTTCAGTCCCCAGCCCTGGTTGGGGTCATGCCGGAAACAACCAATCAGTGTGTCTCTCTCACATCGATGTTTTTCTCTCTCTGTGTGTCTCTCTCTCCCTCCCTCCTACTACTCTATCTGAAGATTAATGGAAAAATATCTTCTAGTAAGGATTTAAAAAAAAAAAAAATACCTGTGTGATGGGTACTTCTCTTTTATGAAGGAGAGAAGCATTTTTTCCACTTTTTGGTCAGTCGCAGTCACCAAGTCAGCTGGAGAACTTTTGATCATAACATTCATTTCATTTTTCAGAGCTTCACGAACCACCTAAGATCATTTAGTAAGCAAATAGGAAAGCTAAGTCATTTTAGATCAGGCTGTGCAATGAAATAGAAAAATGGTGTAAGATGTTCAATCTGTCCCAAATGATATTCTCAAAAATGTCTTACCACAGTGTTTATAAATAACCCTTGGTGGCTATGACATTCTAGACACAAAATCAACTCTTAGATCCTACTTTAGATTCACAGCTGTCATCCCAAGAAGTTAATGACATAAAACTGAAGCATTCACTCTATTTGTAGTGTTTAGTGAAATGAAACACAGTGGAGGTGTGTTTAATTTAACACAGTGGCCACAGGCTGCCCACTTCTGCCACATCAGTGACTAGAGGCAGTTCGTACCTCTCCAGCTCGCCTGGCGAGGGTGACTGCATAGTCCATGCATTCCTGCCAGGGATCTGCCATCTGCAAAAGAGATTCAACACATATCAGGATGCAGCAGTGACAAGTCTCTGAAAGTCCCAATCACAGAATAGTTAGTTCACAAAAGCATCTCAATTAGCAACATGCTTCCATTCGGCATTCTCAGCCCCTTCTGATTCCAGAGTTTTCAAGATTAAATGGTAGACCCAGTAAAAAATATCTTCACCTAAATCATTCCACTTCTATTGTGGAAACACTTTTCATAACAAAAAATACTCAGTGAAAGTGTCTCCTAACGTGTCCATATCATAGCACATTTAAATCAATAACGTTCGCCCTGGCTGGTCTGACTCAGCGGTCAGAGTCGGTCCTTGGACCGAAGAGTCGTGGGTTTGATTCCGGTCAAGGGCACGTGCTAGAGTTGCAGGATTCCCTGGCCTGAACCAGGGCTGTGCGGGAGGCAAACGATCGATGTGTCTCTCCCAAAATCGATGTTTCTCTCTTTCTTTCTCCCCCATTCCGCCCTTCCACTCTCTTTAAAAAATAATCAATGGAAAAAATAAAACAGCAGCACTGGCTTGAGGGAAGGAGAAGAAAGGACACGGAAGTACTCTCAGAGACAGGTGCCCCAGAGGGGCTGGTACTAGCCTCCTACAGGTGCCATGTACATGTGCAGTTTTGAGCTGAGGGCCATCGATGGAGGCCCAGAGGACCAGGAAGACCTTCACAGCCCCTCACCTGCTGGTTTTGTCTCCGTTTGGGAGGAGGAGGTGCAGTTAAGCAGAGCAAGCGGTTTTTGTCTCTGCTCACTGTGGGAACTTCACCAGCCAACAGCACACAGGATGTATCTCCCCACAAGCCAAATAAAGAAACAGCAGGCTGCTAGCAAACCACACACCGACCTCCTTAGTGATCCCACCCAGAGAGGAAGAGAGGAATGAAATCCCAATTTTAACAGAGGTGAGTCTTTGTATATCAGAAGGAGGAAGCCTTTTGCAGACCAGGAGAAAAAATTCCAGGACTAAAAACAGTAATAATGAAGCAAAAAAGAAACTTCTTTCTCTGACTTCCAGAGAGGAAAAAAACTAGCACATTTGAGTGTGTAAGCTGTCCGGCTTTCCACCTAAGGCTGAAGAGAGGACTGGAACAACGCACCACAGGCAGGGCCCCTGGTCTGTACCCTGGACGGTGGAGCCTTTAAGCCCAGACTCAGAAACGCGGCATCGTTTACAACGCAAAATCACTGACAGAACTTCACCTTGAATCCCCGGCGCTCACAAGGTGACAGCGGCAAAGGGCAGACACACTAGGCCGCCTTGTAGATGTGCTTTCTTCCTGGGATAAGCATGGCAAACATTTGCAGAGGAACTGCTCGGGCGCTTCAAGGGCCGTTTCCAACTGCTTTCCGTCCGTGCTCACTCCCACTCAGTCTTCCAGCTCAACGTGAGGGCTTCCCTTCGAACCCTGATCCTAACCCTCCCCAGCCCACGCACGACAGGCCCAGCGGTCTTGCCCCCGGCTCCAGGTCGGCCCTTTCTTCGGGGCATTGTCCCCCAGAAGCCATCACTCTTGTACCCCCAGAACCACCGGTGGACATCGCACGCTGTGCGCTGCACCCCGGTGCACCTTGACTCTCGGGTAGGGATCTGACACGGACCAAAACCACCCGCGACAGCAAATCACAGATGGCGAAGGCGAAGAGCACAGAAAAGCAGGTAGCAGGAGCTCCCACCGGCCCCTGGGTCTCAATAAGGCCCCCTGGGGAGCTGACACGGGAACAGGCATGAACAGGCATGAACTGACCGCACAGGGCACCTGGAAGTCCGGAGGGGCTGAGGCCGCAGGTACAGCCCCACCCAGGGGACGAGGGACGAGGCCGGGGCGCAGGACCCCCGGTGCAGGGCCTGGCGGCGAGACTGAGGTGCGCAGCAGGGACCCTGCAGGGGCCCGAGGTGGGCGGGGTGGGGGCGGGGCCTGCGCAGTGCGGCGGAGGCGGGGCCTGGACGGGGTGGCCGACAGGAGAGGCCGGGCGGTGCTCAGAGGTCCACGGTGGCAACTGAATGGGCCAAGGTGGCACCGACCGCAACGGCAGCGGCCGAAGGAACCAAGTCCGGGGCCGGGTAGGAGCCGGAGGGCGAGCGTTTACTCAGAGCAGGGCCGGGCCGCGACGCTCAGGGACACGTCCGTCACCAGGGCAGAGACCGGGTCCTGAGCCGGAACGACCCTCCGACTCCGACACTGGACTGCGCCCTCCGCACCGCTGGGTCCTGACGAAGGGCCGCACCTGACTCCGCCACTTTCCCTGACCTGGAGCCCGCCCGCCGCTCCGTCCCGCCCCGCCCCGCCCCCGCGCGGGCCTCACCTCGGGCTGCTCGCCGCCCACCGCCCGGACCGCGCCTCAGGTCCTCTCGAGCGGAAGGCGGAAGTGTCCCGCGCCGGAAGTCCCGCCCTCGGGCCCGCCCCGCCCGATCCGGCCGGCCTGAGACTTCCGCTCTGCTTGGCTTCTGTCGCTCATCTCTGCCTCCCGCCAGCACTGTCTTCTGCGCGTCTGCAAAAGTCTGTCTTTATTCTGCGCGCCCTTTCTTCCATTCCTTCCAGTTTTTCCATTTCCCTTCTTTTTCCCCTCACTCACTTATTCCGACTACTCTTGACAAAACACAAATTGCAGGTATACATTGAGTTTTGGAGCTTTTATTTGCTAAACCTATACTAGGAAGTAAATATATATCTAATAAATTATATATAAACCATATAAATTATATGTACCATATAAATTATATATATATAAACCACACAAATTATATATGTGTGTGTACATATTTATATATGTAGATTAATAAATGGTGACAATCCCCACCTGCCCCAATCCTCAATAATTCATTTGGTTACTATTTACCATGCCCCAGACAATTGCATTTTTCCATGCGTTATTTTACGTCAACGTTGCACCAGTTCCTTGATGAAGGTACGATTAGTTCCATCATATGGATGAGGAAACTAAGGCCCAGAGAAGTTACCTGTCTTCAGGTTACACAGCAAAGGCAGAGAATGGGACACAGTGACTCAGGGTCCACACTCGGGGACTTCATGGCACAGCAAGGGTGCACTGTGAGACACAAGGACTAGTCTGTGGTCCTTGAAGTGTTTCATCTTGAGATAACAGGTCTGGCATCATGGGATATATAGTCTGACCACTTTAATGCAAAACATGGATTACACAGACCCAAGACATACAAGCCACCAAGAAAGTGGGTTATTCGACTCCTTGCCAGTGAAGAGCTTGCTTCCCTCTATCTGATCCAAGGACAGGATGTTGTAACCAACAGGCTGCAGATGGAAGAGCTCTCAGAGATGAATGGCCTGTTCTCAAACCTCACGGAGAGCCAGAACTTCGTTTTTATTCTTCTAAAGATTGACACCTTCACTGTCTGAATTGGATACTTTGATTTGTCTAGCAAAAAAATGCTTTTGTGTTCTTGATTTAAAAAGAAGAAAATAACTTCAGAAATTAGCTTTTTTGGTTCTACATTGTCAGTCACCACAAAATAAACTCTTGCCAACTATATGGTGGCAAGTGTTGATTTGTGAGCAAATAAAATTTTCCAGACATTTACAGAAATGTCATCAGTGTCCTCTTTAAACCTCCTTTAAATGAACATAGTCCCACTCAGATCAAATATCTTACTCTCTCAAATTAAAATCACTTCAAGCTTCCTACCACAAATGAGCAGGAGATCCAACCTTTTTCTAGGGGCCCCAGCTGCTGCCTCACAATTGTTTTCAAGTAACTCTGAGTGTTTTCAGTCCAAAGAGGCCATTCTGCTCCCAAAATCCAGCCTGAAAGCAAAGTGAAGAGTCCTCTAGTGCACAGGATGATTTAGTGCTTGTATCTGGTTTTGGATGTGTTGCAAACTGGTCCCACAAAATCCAAAAGATTTTTGTCTGTGAGTGGTCCCAACGGGCAGGGCCTTCAGTACCTGGGGCATTGCACTTGGATTCTCAAAGGGGCAATTTTTAGCCCAGCCATTATGGCTCAGTGGTGGAGCATCCATGTCCACAGTGATACCCCTCGATTCCCTGTCAGGGTACATCCCCAGTAGGGGATGTGCATGAAGTTGTGGGCTTGACCCCCAATAGGGGGGAATGTTTCTATCTCTCCTCCCTCTTTGGTCTGCAGGCTGACACTCCAACCACTAAGCCAAACCAGCCAGGGCATGGGGGTGAAAACAACTTTTAAACCTACATTCCCAGTCATTGTTCCAGTCTTAAAAACCCACCAGGCCACATGTGGTAAGAATAAAACCTGCTCCCTGGTGTGGGTCCAGGTCACTGGTCCACACTTCACTAATGGTGAGTTTCCTCTGAGGGCCTCTGATACCCCTTTTCATCAGCTGACTTCATTCATGAGAGGTACTAATCATGCTAAACCTCAAATGGAAGAGAGGAGATCTGAAGCCCCTGACTCTCCCCAGACCCCTCACTATATGTAGAGGGGCTACTGGGAAGGATGGCCTTTGTCAGCCAGTGTGCTCTGGTCATGCTTATGTAAGGGTAGTAGTCACCCCATTGCCCTATATTTGCATAATAAAGAGGGGTCACCAAGGTGATTCCTTCTCCAGCCATCTTGGTTGTCCTGCTAACCCTGTCTTCCTCCCCGGATATGACTACTCCTCAATGCCAGCTCCTTTCACTAAAAAACATTAAAAAGTCAGATTCACATCAGGAGACTTTCTTGGTTAACCGTTGTTTACAGGACTTTGATTAAAAATAAAATTTATGTGTGCAATGTGCAGGTCCTGGGGGTGGAGGGGGCATCTCCTGGATAGCTAACAGCACGTCATGTTTTGACAGAAAAAGGCTGGAGCTGCAGATACTGGTTAAGCCCCTGCCAGGCCCTGTAAAGCCAACAGCTTTCCCAGATATGAGAATATGTATCATGGAAATTTATGCCAGGACAATGTACCACAGAATCATCCCTTTTGAGGGTTAGAAAGAAACTTAAAAGCTGGCTAACTCCTTACCTCTGAATCCTTTTCTAACCAATCACAGTTCTGTAAAATACTCAGTATGAACTTGCCAATTAGACAACATGCTTTATGTATTGCACTCTTTAAAAAAAAAAGTAACTTCATCCCAATCCAAATTAGATACATTTTATTATGTAAGAATCTGTTTTTCATGATACATCTATAAGAGAAATAAAACATATTCCAAGGCCCCTCCATGCATTTTTGACTGCTTCTAACATGGAAGACCAGCTACACATAGAGTGACAGTAATGATGAGTTCACTGTGTTAGGCATTCTCTGAGAACCTTGTTTGTATTTACTCATTAATCCTCACAATAGCATGAGGCAGGTGCAATCATTACCCCACATTCCGTGTGAATTCAGGCAGAGAGAACGTAACTGATTTGACCACTGACATCCTGCTGGTAGATGACAGCTGAAATGGCAGACCTAGGCATAGTCTGGCTAAGGAGCCTATGACCTTGACCTTTATAGATATTACTGATTAATTAATCCAATACATGTTTAATAAGAACCTACTATCTACTCTGTTTAAGGTATTGAGCTAAACATTTTAGGGAATTCAAAGAACAATATGGGGTCCCTGCGCTCAAGAAGCCTATATATTGATGGACGCCGTGACTGCAGCAGTCAGGTGCGGTTGCCATCATCAGTCTGAATCTGCTTCACTCTGCCGCATCACCCTGGCCATGCCGCTAGGTCCTGGAGTTCATGCCAGAGCCACACACTGAGGAGTTGAGCAAGATCTTAAACCTCAGCTGAATGTCTTCACATTATGGATGTGGAAAGTGGAGTGCAGAGCAGCGCCTCGTTCGAGGTCACAGGGCTGATCACAAAGTGCAAGTGACTCGTCTCCCAGTCAGTAAAATACATTCACAGAAATGCGTGCAAGTTAAATTTGTGCAAGCTTAATAAAATTTTCCACCCCTACGTGGAGATTTCTGTTGAAAGGACTCAGTAGAGAAGATTCCATGTAGACAATTGTCATTTCACAAAATGAGTAATAACCAGCCACCACCATGCTGAAGTACATCTTTCATCAATCTTAGTATTCATATACTGAATTTGGTGAAATTAGAAAAAAAGAACTTTGGTTGTCTTGTCGGCTGACAAACTCGTTACCTAACACTATGAGAATTCACAGAATGCCTATTTTTGTCGACATGCTTTCCGTAGAAAGTTGGGATGTTCTCGTCATTACCACAGGATGGTTTTTAAATTGCTGTTTCCCACTTAAGAGACCATAACGAAGTATCATATTCAAATCCAATTCTATGAAACGTTTCCAGACCAACCCAGCTTCAGTGTGGTCTCCTCCTCCTGAGCTCCATACACTATGATAATGTATATATTCCCACCCAGAGCCAAATTTTCAATCAGATCCTAAGTGGGTTGAGAGTAGGCATCATTGTGGGTACTCTTCAACTCTCCATAGTGTCTCACTCAGAGTAGGAACGCTGTCATGCTCTCACTCTTAGATCAGGGGAGTTTTTTTTTTTAATCTCCTGTGATAAGGGTACATCTTTTCTTAGCCTTGTAGATCCCAAGGATCAGTAATATTGCACACCCAGAACACATGGCCACTGTGAAGGGAGCCACAGAAGCTAAGTTGGCCTTGGACTGGGAAAGAGCTGGATAATGGCCAGCGCTAAGAAGCTGCTGAGTAACCTACATTCGATAGCAACAATTTTACACACTGGAAGAGGCAGCCTAGAGATTTTGGCAAAGGAGTATTCGAACAGCAAACCCAGAGCAGGAAGTAAGGCACCCAACAAAAGCACCTCTACGTTAATGGTTGTTAGAAACACTAATCCAATTCTGACTGTCAAATAAATCCCTATGGATATTAAAATAAAACTCAGAGGTCTAATGATTCTCTCCAGGATGTTTGCCTTTTCAGGTGTTCTACGCTTGATGATCATTCCAGTTGACACAGGTGGAGTATGAAGAGGAGGGCTGACATACCTTTCAAACCAGGGATAGGGAAGGTGCCAGATAATCCTAAAAGCCTACTATACAGGTAAGAATTGGCAGACATCATCACTCAGGGCTAATACTGTTGACGTGCAGGTCATCAAAATGGCCAAAGTGATGTCTCCTTCTAGAAGCAGAGCAAAGAGGTACCCCCAACTCCCTCCTGGACACGTGCAGGTCATTACAAATCCAAAAGCCTGTGCCTTGGGCAATGCCAAAATCTGCATCAAAAAAAATTCACAAAATGGCATCAGAAAAAGCTGGGTAACTGCCCCAGAATTACTGGCAGGGGTCTCTTCCATACTGTCTGAAACACCTGCAATCCAATCTTGCAACCAAACACGCATTTATTTAACAGTATCATCAGCAGAATAATCATTAGGATATTTCTATCCATGGGCATTGATGCCTGGAAGAGACTGTCTGGTCTTTTTTTGAGCACTGTGACTCTGACATTCTTTTTTTTAAATCCTCACCCGAGAACATTTCTCCACTTTTTGTTCAGATAGAGAGGAAGAGAGAGAGAGAGAAACATCGACGCGAAGGGACGCATCAAGGGGCTGCCACCCGCACAACCAACCAGGGCCGGGGACAAACTGCAACCCAGGTACATGCCCTTAGCGGGAACCGAACCCGGGTCTCTCTGTACCGCAGGCCGACACTCCAACCGCTGAGCCAAACCAGCCAGGGCATTGACATTCTTTATTTCTCCAATGAGTCGTTCTTGCCTACCTTCAGAATCCCACAGTTGAAAGGTCAAATGTGTCTCTCCTTCTCCCTCTGCCACTATCTTTATGATGAAATCTGTAGCATCCGAGGTGGTCTTGGTCATGTTCACCACCTGCAGCATTTTAGGATCTTTGAGCTGCACATTGGGTCATTTATCCCTGTAACTTGATCTGATGACGAAGGTCTCTTCCGCCTTGGAAGAGACCAATGTTTGAAACGAGCAATGTTTCAGCCTTCTCTGCTCTCAGAAGACTGAGAAGTGGTTCCCTTGCTTCTCCCAGAGTCACAGATGATGCAAGAAAGACAGTAAAAAGTTTTCTGATCATTTTGAAAGCTGAAATTAATCCTGTGTGCAAAAGCACTAAAAACAACTGGAGAACATTCCTGGTAGAGGCACCCAGATGCCGTGCCGAGGCTGAGACAAGAGCTGTTTTGCTGGATCAAAGTACAGAAGGAGGGACTGTGTTCTTTCAAACCAACACCAAGCTGCCCAGTGAGCGGCACAAGCTGCCGGACCTGTAGTTATCCAGATGTACAAGCCACAGTGTATCACAACTTCATTGCTCACATCAGAACCTCACCTCTGTCTTCCCAATCTCCTCATTTCTGCTCATGAAAATACAGCCTCCTATTCACCTGAATTTAAAAAGTGCCATCATTTTTTTTGAGTTCTCTTTCTTTCTAGGGAAAATCTACACTAGAAACAGTCAAGATCCAAAAATCTAAAATACATACTAAGGAGGCCTGCAGGTGGGTGTTAGTATTTTATTCATTCATGTCAAAATCAAATAAGCATCTATTGGCCACCTTTGCTGGGCGCTGAGCCTGGAGCAAATTATAGCAGAGTCATCCAACCAGATGCTGTCCCCACCCACCTGCAGCTCCTTAACATAACTCAGAGAACCACAGAGCCCACAACTTGGCCTTGCTATATCCTGAGGCAGCTGACAGATTTCCTACGACTCTGCAGAGTGAGTGCATCCACTAGGCAAAATCTGAAACTGCTTTTGGAATCTTTAAATAAGAAAACAATTTCCTGATGGTTACCAGTTACCTTGGGAACCTGGGGAAAAGGGGTGGCCAGATCCACGGCCAAAGGGACATCTGGCTGAGGGACTACCACCACTGGACACCTGGAGCCTGACACAGTGGGACAGTGGAAGGCCACTGGCACTAACCCTTACTCCTCATGACACGTGACCTCACAGCTGAGGGCAGGGACATCCCACTGACCCAGCTGGGGTCCACGCCTGTGCCCCTTCTGCCAAGAGTAAGGAAAGTGTCAGGCTTTTTGGCCTTCAACCCACATACTCCCATAATAATGTATTTCCCAAACAAAAAGGGGTTCAGCTTTTTTTTTTCATTATTCCTCACCCAAGGATATTTTCTACTTATTATCAGATAGAGTGGGAGGGAGGAAGGGAGGGAGAGAGAAAGACAAAGAGAAACATTGACATGATAAAGCCACATCAACTGGTTGCCTCCTGCACGACCTGACCAGGACTGGGGACAAACTGCAACCGAGGTATGTACCCTTGACCAGAATCAAACCCTTGACTCATTGGTTCATGGGCTGGTGCTCTAACTGCTGAGCCAAACTGGCCAGGGTGGGCTCAGCTATTAAACAGAAAAAAGAAAGAACAAAAATCCACTGCAACTGTCTACTAGTAAGCCCACAGATCCGGCAGTGCCCGAACTCATAGCCCCGCAGGTCCTGCCTGGGCCGAGGCAGGGTCTGTGTTAAATGCAACAAGGACAGTTTGAAGTATTTTATTATTAGTTTTAACTTATCTTTATTGCTGAATGTATTACAGATGTCCCCCCTTTTTTCCCCATTGACCCCCTCCTCCCCAATTTTACCCCCCTCCTGCCTTTCCCACACTATTGTCGGGGTCCATTGGTTATGCATATATGCATAGAAGTTCTTTGGTTTATCTTATCCTGCCCTCCATTCCCTCTTCCCTTTGACGTTCATCAGTCTAACAACCAATTTGTACTTCTTAATCCCTTCACCTTTTCACCCAGCCCATCTGGCAACCAACAAAAGTTCTCTGTATCTGAGTCTGTTTCTGTTCTGCTTGCTCATTTTGTTTGTAGATTCAATTGTTGATAAATATGTATTAATTGACATTTTATTGAGCATATTTTTGATCTTCTTTGGAGGAAGTATTTTTAGATCATAATATTTGCTCCTTAAAAACTGTTAAAGCAATTTTACTGGACATTTTTATAATGTTTTAAAAAATTCTACTTATGTATGTTAGTCTTTCAAATACAGTAGACTCTACACCTGAAATTAATATAATATTGAGTGTCAACTGCAATTAAAAACATTTTTAATGTTTCATTAAAATGTTTTGAAATTTTTAAATTTCGTAAATGCAATAGACCCTATAGTCCATAAACTATCCTCCATGGACTTCGGGACATCGTGCCATTGGAAATAGGGACTGGGGCGAATGTTTCGGTGATATCACGGTTAATTTCCCAGAGACTGTCCCTAGTTTAAAAAGACAAAAACATGCCCTGGCTGGTTTGGCTCAGCGGTTCGAGCGTCGACCTGCGGAGCAGAGTCCTGAGTTCAGTTCCCACTAAGGGCACATACCTTGGTTGCAGTTTGTCCCCAGCCCCAGTTGGGGTCATGTGGGTGGCAGCCACTTGATGTGTCTCTCTCACATTGATATTTCCCTCTCTCTCCCTCCGGCTCTAGCTGAAGATAAATGCAAAAATGTCTTCTGGTGAGGATAAATAAATAAATTAATTAAATTAAATAAAAAGACAAAAACAAAACAAGTACAAAGCAAAAACTTTTTATAAAACCAAAGCCAACTTTACAGTATGTAACCAAATACTTTAACTCACACTTTTTGTTGCCCAGGTCACAGGTGTAAGGATTTCCATTTGTCTTCCTGGCACCCGTCTGCACCCTTCCCCTTCACGAGGTCCTGAGTCCCCCCATCCAACATCTGCAGGGAATAAAACCAGACGGACCCGGATGGTCGAGCCTTCACATGCTTTACTGGCTGACCCCATTCCTGATGCTCATTTGTGCCATACTGTTGTCACAGCTACAGTGTCTGAACTTAATAGTATTTGTGGGTTTTCCACGTATAATTCTGGCTGTCTGCAGCACGTGGGGAGACACTGGGGTGGAGTGGGAACAATCAAACCCTAAAATTTCATCGAGCGTACTCCGTGGGACCACTACAGGCAAGTCCGAAAGCTGTCTGATGTCAGTGATCTGGCAGTCAGAGCTTTCTCTTGCCCATGACCCGTTCTCTTTAGGACACAGCTCATGCTGGAGGCCTGGGCCCTGGAGCCTCTGGGGGCTGGGACCTGCCATCCCGACAAGCTTTCCCTCTACCTGGAAACTGACCTCTCGCTGCAGATGCCCACTGAGACAAGTCCTTCCTCCACACCCTTGCTCTCCTTCCTGTCCAGTCACCGACAGGCCTGCTGCTGCACCCCTCCCCCATGCCACTCAGTCTGCCAGCCCTCCTCACCCTCTTCTCAACCCCACTGGGACTTTCCCTGGTATATTTATGTTTAGCTGATTCGTGAAACATGCTGATCCCCTACCACATGCAGGCAATTAGGACACGTGCTAAGGTGTTCGTTAGTATGGAAACTTTCTGGTGTTTGGAAATAAATGTAAGGAGTATTGTTACTTCTGGTCGTATAGTCTGTGATAAAAGCTGTTGGAACACAGCTGTACTAACTACCCATCTGTTCATTTGATACGTGCCACACTCTTTGCATTGTAGTTACCACAGCAACTAAAATCAAATCCTTACCCTTAGTAGGTACCCAAATAAACACACTAATAAATGAATGTATAAGCAGCTGATGTAAATTGGAGGCTACCTCCATTCCTTGATTGAAAGTAACATGAAGAAAAAATTAAAGATGTTATGAACATTCCAAGTTTATTCCTTTAATTAAACTAAAGCCACTGTGCATGTCCATGACAATTAAAACACAAAAGGGACAAAGACTACACAGAAGTCATCCTGTTCCTTCCACGTAGTAGTGCTTTGCTGAGGGTGGAACACGTGAGTCAGAAGCATTACTTTTCACGCATCAGTAAAGTAGAATTACTTTGGCATGTATTTTCCTTGGTACAAGATATAAAAAGACTGCAATCAAGTTGAGCTACCCACCTTTCTTCTCATTTGTAATACATTCATACAAACTGGAAGAAAACCTTTATCAGAGATACGCCCCAAAGCAGGTGGAGGACAGCAGGAAAATCACGTCCCCTTCCCAGGCCTGAGATTCATCCAAAACCTTTGAAGAGAGAATGAGACAATCTCCGTCCCTCTGATTCATGGACACACATCAGTGCACGCTCCATGTCGCAGGCACACGGGAAGCTATACGCTGGGCCATGTTACTTTACGGCGAGAGCCAAGCATGTATCCTCTGAGAGTCGTTCCTCTGCCGTGAGCTCAGCCATGTCCCAGAAAGGACATCTAAAGTTCATTGTGGACCCCAGAGCAAAGGGACATGGAGCAGAGTCCCGGCCAATCAACAGCTCACGGCCAAACAAGCAACGCCCCTTTGTTGTTGTTATGGCAGCACTCCAAATGAAAGCTAATCGAGTACAACCACCACCAATAACTGAGTGTCAGTTCACAGTTAACTGCAATGAAAAAATTTAAATTCCATGCATACAGAACTGATAATGGACATTATGACAATGAAAATAATTTTAATACAACGTTTAAAAATAAAACTATATATAGTATTTGTAGTAAAAGAAAATGACTTCATGTAGAACTTTCCTCATGGTTCCTGGATTGAATCCTTCAATGACTATTCCAAGTAAGAATCGACATTTTTTAAAAATTGTTCTTCCTCATTAAGATATTCCAAGATAACATTTCCACCATTATATAAAGGACAATCCTCCTTAGCAATCCAGGCTTCCAACGAATGATCCAAGGGTAATGCTTCTCCTGAAGTCATGTGACACAACCTTAATTTCTGTTGAGAGAGAAATATAGTAATAAATAAAGATGCTTGTACAGCATATCCTAAAACTCCCAGGAAAAATTTATTACCAACAGTTATTACCTTGGCTGTGAATCTGTTGTTGTCATTTCTGAGACTGGCTAAAGAAGCTGCAAAGTCAATGACCTTCCCAATGCTCCATTGGGAGCAGAAGAACATTGGTTTGCTCTTCTCCTTGCTCCCCTTGGGTAGGAAAACCTGCAGGTAAATTCTTTCTGTCTGTAAGAAAAAAGAAGTTATAATACAGATCACATACATGAACTAGACATCTGTTTTTGATTGGTGGCATTTCTTCCTCTTTTCTCCTGGTCTGTGAGGGATCACCCTCTGACTGTTAGTGCGAATGCCAAACACGGTTGCCAGCATCCACCTGCATGCCTGAAATAGGACTCAAGACCCTGGCCAGGGTGATCTATGCAAAGACAGGTATGTGTTCTCAGTTAGGCCAACTAAGGTATTTTCCTGAGATCTGACATTCAAAAGCTGGGGATGGTAGCATTATAGGCCTACCTCAAAAAGCATGAAAATTTTCTAATAAACTAACCCTACAACTTAAAGAATTAGAGAAAAAAAAGGAAAACCCAGTGTAAGTAGAAAAAAAGAAATAATAAAATTCAGAGTAGAAATAAATGACATAGAAATTAAATAAACAATATAAAAGATCAATGAAACCAAGAGTTGGTTCTTGGAAAAGATAAACAAGATTGATGAACCTTTAGCCAGACTCACCAAGACACAGAGAGAGGGTGCAAATAAACAAAATCATAAATGAAAGAGATGAAGTAACAACTGACACCACAGAAATACAAGGGTTTATTAAAAAAAAATACTATGAACAATGCAATTATATGTCAAACAAACTGGACAACCTAGGTGAAATGGACGAATTCCTTGAATCATACAATCTTCCAAACTCAACTAGGAAGAGCCAGAAACCTAAAGAGACCAATTACAACAAATGAAATTGAAGCAGTAATAAAAAAAATAAAAACCTCCCAGCAAACAAGTCCAGGGCTGATCAGCTAGCTTCACAGATGAATTTTGCCAAACATTCAAAGAACTAACACTCATTCTCCTCAAACTATTTCAAAAAATTCAAGAAGAAGGAAGACTTCCAAACTCGTTTTATGAGGCCAGCATAATCCTAATTCCAAAACCAGATACAGACACTACAATAAAAGAAAACTACAGACCAATATCCCTGATAAACATAGACATCAAAATCCCCAACAAAATATTAGCAAATTGGATCCAGCAATATATCAAAAAAAGTATTCACCACAACCAAGTGGAATTCATCCCAGGGATGCAAGGCTGGTACAATATTTGTAAATCAATAAATGTAATACACTACCATAAACAAAATGAAAGATAAAAATCATATGATATCAGTAGATGCTAAAAGGCATTTTAAAAAATCCAGTACCAATTTTCGATAAAAAGTCACAGCAAAGTGGGAATAGAGAGATCATACCTGAACATAAGAAAGCCCATATATGATAAACCTATAGCCAACATCATACTCAATGAACAGAAACTAAAAGCATTTCCTTTAAGAACAAGAACAAGACAGGGCTGTCCGCTTAGGTCACTCTCATTCAATATAGTACTGGAAGTCTTAGCCACAGCAATCACACAAGAAGAAACAATAAAAGGGATCCATTTGGAAAGGAGGAAGTAAAACTGTCATTGTTCACAGATGACATGAAAATCCTAAAGGCTCCCCCAAAAAACTACTAGATTTAATAAATGAATTTGGCAAAGTAGCAGGATACAAAATTAACATCCAGAAAATGATGGCAATTTTATACATAGATAATGAACACTTAGAGAAACTAAAAAAATTGACCATTGCAACAAAAATATTAAGATATCTAGGAATAAATTTAACTATGGAGGTGAAAGACCTCTTCTCAGAAAACTACAGGATATTGAAAAAATAGAGAAAGATATTAAAAAGTGGAAGTATATACCTTGTTCATGGATTAGAAGAATCAACATCATTAAAATGTCCATACTACCCAAAGCAATCTACAGATTCAATGCAATCGCTATTAAAGTACCAAAGGCATATTTTACAGATATAGAACAAAAACTCCAAAAGTTAATATGGAATCAAAGATGACCCCACATAGCCATAGCAATCCTGAAAAAGAAGAACAAAGTAAGAGGGATCACAATACCAGATATCAGATTATACTACAAAGCCATTGTAATCAAAACAGCTTGGTACTGGCACAAGAACAGGCATATAGATCAATGGGAAAAAAACAGAGAACCCAGAAATCAACCCAAGACATTATGCTCTATTAACATCTGACAAAGGAGGCAAGAGCATACAGTGGAGTAAAGACCATCTTTTCAATAAATGGTGCTGGGAAAACTTGACAGCAACATGCAAAAAACCCGAACTAGACCACCAACTTAAACCATACACAAGAATAAACTCAAAATGGATAAAAGACTTAAGTGTAAGTCATGAAACCATGAAAATTCTAGAAGAAAATGTAGGCAGCAATATCTCAGATACCACATTTAGCAGATTTTTCACCAATACATCGCCTAGAACAAGAGAAACAAAGGAAAAAATGAACACACGGGACTACATCAAACTAAAAAGCTTCTGCACAGCAAAAGAAACCAGTATCAAAATGAAATAGGAATCCACTGTATGGGAGAACATATTTGCTAACATATATCAGATAAGGGGTTAATACCCCAAATATATAGAGTGCTCATACAACTCAACAAAGGGGAGACAAAGAATCCGATTTAAAAATGGAGAGAGGACCTGAATAGATACCTCTCCAAAAAGAACATACAAATGACCAAGAGACATATGAAGAAATGCTCTACATCACTAATCATCAGAGAGATGCAAATTAAAACAACAATGAGGTATCACCTCACACCTGTCAGAATGGCCACCATCAACAAATCATCAAACAACAAGTGTTGGTGAGGGTGTGAAGAAAAGGGGACTCTAGTACACTGTTGGTGGGAATGCAGACTGGTGCAGCCACTATGGAAAACAATATGGTGTCTCCTCAAAAAATAAAAAATAGAACTGCCATTTGACCCAGTGATCCCACTTCTAAGAATATATCCTAAGAAGTCTGAAACACCAATCAGAAAGAATATATGCACCCCTATGTTCATAGCAGTGCTATTTACAATCACTAAGATCTGGTAACAGCTCAAGTGCCCATCAGTAAATGAGTGGATAAAAAAGCTGTAGTACATTTACACAATGGAATACTATGCAGCTGTAAGAAAGAGAGAGCTTTTATCCTTTGAGATGACATGGAGGGACCTGGAGAGTATTATGCTGAGTGAACTAAGACAGTCAGAGAAAACAGGTATCACATGATCTCACTTATTTGTGGAAAATAATGATCAAAATAAGCTGACAATCAAAATAGATCCAGAAACATGGAAGTTGGGAACAGACTGACACACCTCAGAGGGGGAGCAGGAAGAGATGAGCTACAGAACTTATATGCATACCATACACAGACAGTGAGGTGAAGGCTGGGGGGCAGTAGGAGTGGGACGAAGGGTATCAATGGGGGAAAAAACCAGGAACATCTGTAATACTTTCAACAATAAAGATTAAAAAAAAAAAGCTGGGAGCTCTCTTTTTCCAGATTTCTTTTTCTGTTTTTTTTTTTTCTTTATTGATTTTAGAGAGAGAGGAAGGGAGAGGAGAAAGAGATAGAAACACTGATGAGAAAGAACATCAATTGATCACCTCCTGCACGCTCCCCACTGGGGATCGGGCCCACAACCTGGGCACGTGCCCTGACCGAGAATCGAACGGATGACTTCTTGGTGCATGGGTCAACATTCAACCACCGAGCCACACCGGTTGGGCCAGATTTCTTAAGTCTTAATGAATTAACCCTAGAATTGTCTGCAGCTATTCCCCAGCTGCTCAGCCTCTCCTGGACCAATGTGAAAAAACTCTCATCAAATGGGAAAGAATGCGTCCAACACAGACAGAGAAAAGTCAAGGACACGTGGACTTTTTCAACTGCATCGAAGTCCTAGAACTCAGTCTTCTTTGGAGACCAGATCAATACCACCACCATCACACGAGGAAAAAACATTGTTTTGATTAAGTTAGTTGTATCAAGCTTCTGTTGCCTGCAACTGAAAGATCCCTGAAACATAGAACATGTCTTTTCATGTGAAAGACCTCACAATGTACTTACAAACAACAGAACTTATGAGAATAAGGAAGCTAAAATATATATAAATACACACACACACACATAGACAAGTACCATACCAATAAAAGAGAAGTATTTTCCTGGCAGGTGTGGCTCAGTGGATTGAGCGTAGTCCCATTGTTTTGTTCCTGGTCAGGGCACATGACTGGGTTGTGGGCTCGATCCTCAGTAGGGGGCACGCAGGAGGCAGCCTATCCGTGTTTCTCTTGCATTAATGTTTCTATCTCTCTCTCCCTCTAAAAAAAATCAATAAAAACATTTTTTTTTTTTTAAAAAGAGAAGTATTTGTTGGAGATTTGGATGCTTCCACTAGTATTATATATCCTATATGCTTCCTTATATTGTATTTTCTTGCTAAATTAATAAATGCACAAAAGAAAAAAAGAATAAGAATAAAGGTGTTTGGCCTCAAATCTTCCTTAATTCCTAAAAATAGCTTTAAAAAACTGCTGGCTATACAGACCAATTCCTGTTATAATAAAATTTTTGATATAAAAGGAGCATCTCTAGGTCATAGAGGAAAAATTATAATTATTTTTCAATATGTTTTTATTGATTTTAAAAAAACTTTATTGATATTAGAGAGAGAGAGAGGAAGAGAAAGATAGAAACGTGGATGAGAGAGAACATCGATTGGCTGCCTCCTGCATGGCCCCCACTGGGAATTGGGCCCATGACCTGGGCATGTGCCCTGACCGGAATAGAAATGGTGATCTCTTGGTGCATGGGTCGGCGCTCAACCACAGAGCCACACTGGCCAGGCTGTTTTTATTGATTTTTTAGAGAGATAGATTGATGTGAAAGAGAACATCGATTGGCTGCCTCCCACATGCCCCTTACTGGAAATTAAGCCTGCAAACTGTGCATGTGCCCTGACCGGAAATAGACCTGGGAACTCTCAGTCCATGAGATGACGCTCAATCCATGAAGCCACACCAGCCAGGCAAGATTATAATCATTTTAAGAAATATGAGGTTCAAGACAATT